TTTGTGTAATGTATGTATGGTCGGAGGGTAAGATGGCGCTGGCACGGCTGGCAGCCTTAACCCAATTTCCCTCAGGATGAATAAAGTATAATCAATCAATCAATCAAAGCCTGATCTAATGAGGGGGCAGCCACATTGTGAATGTGGAGTTTCTGGACTTGACAACCAGGGTGGTGCAGATGGCTGAATGTGTTGAAGAGTTCACTTTGCTGAGTGTGTTTATGTCATTTCACTGCTACAGTATTACGTTTTCTTCCCGGTGACAGCTAAAGAAGTAGATTATGGAAACAGGATATAACAGAGTAGCATTTGTACGACATGTTTCTAGTCTTTACAATATATTACAACATGTACCAGTTACAAACATTTACATTTAAAAGACTGGCTGTGTTAGAAAATGACCTGCAAGCAAAAACAGCGAGCACGCAGAACTCAGATCGTTGCCTCTGAGCTTTGCTTCGTTCTGCTTCCTTCAGGAAAACTCACAAGTAATTATGAGACAAAGCGCTGCTGTTGGATGTGCCGAAAGTATCAAAAACTGTTAGCAATATTATTCTGAATGTGATTCACATTGACTAGTTTGCAGTGAGCAGACCCGTGTCAGGGACTCAAAGAGCAGCTTTTTGTAAGGCAGCCACTCGCTGCCCTTTCATCTCTGCAGAGTCTTAAGAAGCCAGTTGTGCCTTTAACCCAGCACTGTGTTCACACATGCTGAGCTGATGCTTAATGTATAGTACTGCATTAAGCTATGCCAGCATAGCGCTCAACACTTACCCAGGAGTGCAGCTACACACACCACTACTAATGCATTTGATTGGTATGTGCTGTAAACACAATATATTGATTTCCGCTGGGATTTTAACTTAATGGAGGAAAACGTAAAAGCCTGGAGTGTAAGTCGAGCTTATGTTGGTAAAATAGGTGGTTCTGTGCCGTTATGCTCTCTTGTGTTTCAAATGCTGTTGAAGATTTATGAGCTCCAAGTTCAACATGATCAGCTCATTTGTAATCGTGATGCAGAGCGCCGCAGACACATCGGCAGAGCAAATGTAGACAATGACAGCACCACCTGTGCACACGGCTCAGTGGGGATTTGGTGTAGTGCTATAATTTAGGCTTAATTGGAGCCGGATGAGAATTATTTTCACGGCTTCTTGTTCTTTTCTTTTACCGAGCAGCAGGGAAGTCCACGAATTGGGAGGGAGGAATCAGGGTCCCTGGAATTTTACGTTGGCCTGGGAAAATCCCTGGTGGCAGACAGATAGATGAGCCCACCAGCAACATGGACCTGTTTCCCACTGTGGTGCAGCTGAGTGGAGCTTCAGTCCCAGAGGACAGGTGAGGCTGTGCTCCTTCCTTATGTCAGTCAAAACAAGTGCAGCCAAATCTAGGTCACGTTTAAAGAAAGGAGAGGCAGCGAGAGTGACTCACAGTGAGGGGAATCCTGGATGTGAGCAGAGGAAACATGTTTCCTAATGAAGAGTGGGGTGTTAAGCTAATCCAGAGGCTTTGATTGTAATTCATGTTCACTTTCTTTCTGCAGGGAGATAGATGGTCATGACCTCATGGATTTGCTGCAGGGGAGAGCTGCAAGTTCCAAGCATGAATTCCTCTTTCACTACTGTAGTGCCAACTTGAACGCTGTCAGATGGCATCCCCAAAACAGTAAGTGTGCAACAGAGAAAGATGAAGCTGTATTGATAACCTCTACCGTTTGCACCAGGTCAGGCAGCATTTGCAACCTAACCTGCAGGGTCAGGTTCAGTCTGTCCAAGTGACACAGCATGTCGACCAAAAAGACCAGATCCATAGTCCACTTGAGGTCGGAGAGCTCGGGATTGTCCTTCTCTACCATTAACAGTTTCACGGCATCCAAAAGCTCAAAGAAGCGAGAGAGTACCGGGGTTTATGACGCCACCTCACAGTGCAGCAGGTCACCTGGAAGCCTCGGCTCCAGCTCGGCGATGAGATGCTTGAATTGCATGTGGTTAAGTGCATGTGTGTGGATGCAGTTGACTTCATGACGTTGTCTAAATTCAGTGATTTAGACGCGAGTTGCTCCCTGTGGATGATGCAGTGGAACCAAACGTGCAACATGGGGAGGGCACGCCAAGCTTTGTTAGCAATAATCAACAAGTATAAATCAAACACAAAACACGGGGTCACACCCATCATGACACTTGCACCTACTCACTCACGCACATTTGCATTAGATGAACATACAGCGTTAAACTCAAAGAAGCAAACACGCAGATTAAAACAAACACAAACTTCAATATAAGAGCTGCAGGAAACCAGGCAAAGGTTGCAGCTCCTGAGCTGCGGGTTGGCCACTTCTGAAATAGATTAATAAACGACTAAAATGTAACCTACCAAACTAATGGACAAAGATCACTTTGTACCAGATAGATACAAACTCTGCTATTTGAGGCCATATTTCTGCTGCTATTTGAAGTCAACATACAAAGATGAAAAGAGGCTGGCAATCTGAACAATCATCCAAAGCAGACTTAAATATGTGTAACAGTCCTGGCCTGAATATCAGTAACAGTCTGAAAAGATCTCTCAGCTGTGATGTGCAGGAGTGGCAGCTTCATATTATTAACTGTGTTTACAGGCTGGAGCGTGAATGACTTGGTGTCCACACTTTCACAGACTCCACAGTTACTTATGTAGTTTTTCCAAGTTAATAAAACACAGAATGGAGTTCATTAACAGCAACAGTCTCATTTGAAAACCTGAGCACGCTGCTGCATTTCTATTTATGGTAACTTTTAAAGACAGCAGTTTGGCCCGACCACACTGAAACATATACTATATTACTACACATTATAGAGTTTATGGATAATAAGTATACCGTGGCTCTTTGAAAAAGTGAAAGCATGAAACCAGCAGGCGATGTGAGCCATGTGACCAAATGATACAAGTGCATGGATGAAAACAACTTTCCTGCAGATTTCTCAGCTCAGGCTGAGGCTGTCCGAGCTTCTAGAAGGCTCTTTAAGCCTTGTGCAGGAAATGTTTGACCAGAGCTTTCAACAAATGAGGAAAATGACCAACTACAATCCCAGATGTGTTGTAGCAACTGCTCATTTAGCTGAACTAGATCCAGGGGCAGCACCGTGGAGTTGTTAGTAGGGCTGTGCTGATATAAGACATCTATTGTCCAGACAACGATATAAATCACAAAAATGTAACATTTTCTGTAAATTCTGTGAATCTCGGGCAGCTCGACTTGCGTGAAGTGTTTCCAGCTGCGCGTCATGTAGCTGGAGTCGAGTGTTTTAACCGATGCATGAAACGATACATTTTTAGACATAAGTTGTAACGGCGCCGTTTTCTCTCAAAGTTTGAGTCTAAGCTTTATTTTTTAGCACCTGACGGCTCTTTTTTTGCTTCTCATCCATAAGCATACAACTCTGCATACTCTTTCACGTGATTCAGTTTATTTTGAAAAGTCTCAAAAGGATCTTGAGCTTTATTGTGAAAGGTTACGTGGAAAACAAACAAGCGGACAGCGGAGCCACGATGAAAAACGATGAACAATGTTGCTGTAAACAGTTTATTTTACGACACCACGAAACAAACAACAGCGTAAAATGAAACGATAGATGTTTTTATATCGTCATCGATATAAAAAACAAGCGTTATTAGGGCGAGCTGTGGCGTGCACGGGGCTGTACTCTGCTCAGATTCAGACAAACGCTGCAGAAACCTGATCGAAATCTTGCAGAGCAGCTTTTCAGCTGATAAGCAGAAGGCTCCACAAACTGAAGGTGGATGCAGTGAATGCCTGACGGAGCGTCTCTCAGGGAGAAATGCTGCATTTGTTGATGTCCATGGGTTTGACACTCCAGCCGGTCATTTTCTACAACAGATTTTCATCCAAGCATTAAAATCAAATTGTTAGTTTGTTGAATTGTTGCATCTGAAAATGTCTAAATGTTGTGCTTCCTTTGGTGTGTAAAAGTCTTTCATTTAAGGCTGAAAGGCTGCACTTCCTGCTTCATGGAAGGAAAGTGGCACTGAGCGCTTTCATGTATCGTTCTCAGGTAGCTCGGTGTGGAAAGCTTTTTACTTCACTCCAAACTTCTACCCAGAAGACAAGACGGCATGTTTCCATACACTTACCTGCTTTTGCACGCCGGAGTACGTCACCTTCCACGATCCTCCTCTGCTCTTCGATCTCTCAAAGGACCCATCAGAGAGCACGCCGCTGACCCCAGACACCGAGCCTGCCTTCCACTTTGTCCTGGCCACAATGCAGGAAGCTGTGAAGATGCATCGGCGCTCACTGAAGCCAGTGGAGAGCCAGTTAAGTCCAGCGAACCTGATGTGGAAGCCCTGGCTGCAGCCCTGCTGCTCCACGGTCACGCAGCTCTGTCAGTGCCAGCTGTACCAGTAAACTTCTGTGGAGGCGGCACTGGGAGATCCTTGCTGCTGTTTAGAGTCACACTAATCTGAATATGGACACTTCATCTGAACTTCAAATCCACGATTAAACCTTTGTTTTGTCAGGGTGCAGTCGTCTGTTGCACTGATTTTATTTCACTCGATGTAGTAACAAAAGCTTCATATCTAGAAATCTAGTCAGCACACAGGTAGCAATTATAAGATACAATAGACTGAGCGATGAACACAGTAAAGTTGTCAGCTGTCAAATCAGAAGATATATTATGAGACTTAGACGTCAATAAACGTTCAGAGAATCGTCTCATACAAGTCTAAGAGCTACGAGCTGCAGAGATTA